GCAATCTCTCTCTCTCTCTCTCTCTCTCTCTCTCTCTCTCTCTCTCTCTCTCTCTCCCTTTCCCTCTCTCTCTCTCTTTTTCCTTTTTCCTCAATTTAACGTCGCATACTTCCTCCGTCGTGTCCAAAGTTAGATCGACACGGCTGATGAGAGACACAAGCATCGATACGGGCGCAAACTTTAGCGCTATGAAAACATGGTCTGCGCTTCCAAAAGTTGATCGTGATAATGCCGTATTTCCAGCAACTTTCTGTGATTCCAGAGCCAGATCGGAAGCTGCCAACTGATACACATCCAAAAAAAGTGATTCTTACTTGTTTAACTGCATAATATGTATATAGTTGTGTTTATGCGTCTCTTCACAAAGTAATTAGGCAATCATCACATCTACTATCGCTCATACGTACAGAAGGGTTTGGGATTGATCAGACAAAAACAAAATGGTTTTTGATTCGAAATGTTATTTTTTATTTTTTTTTATTTTATATTTTATTTCATTTAAATAATTGTATTTTATTTATTGTATTTGAACATGTTCTTTTACCTTAATTTACCTAAACATAAGTTGCATTTTAATTTAATTTATTTTATTTTATTTATTGTATTTAAGTATTAATTTAATTTAATTTTTTTATTTTTTATTTTAACATACATTTTATATTTATTGTATTTGAACAAAATGTATTTTATTTTATTTTAACATAAGCTTATTTATTTTTATTATTGTATTTTAAATATGAGTATTATTTATTTATTTTCAACATACATTGTATTTTTATTTTATTTTAATTTATTTATCGTATTTAAATGTAACTATTTTTATTTTATTTATTGCATTTAATAATATTTTATTTTATTATTTTATTTCAGTGTAAGTTGTATTTTTATTTTATTTATTTAGTGTAATTAAATGTTTATTTTATTTTATTTTATTCATTTGCAAAATTAAATTGAAGTTTGTATTATTTTTATTAAAAAATATATTTTAATGTTATATCTGATATTATATTATAACATTATTATTGTTATATATTATATAATATATTGTTAATAATAATAAATAATATATAATAATAATATATTAAATATGTATATATTATTATTAGAATATAATAATTTGTGTGTGTGTATATATATATATGCATGTATATGTGTATGTCTGTGTGTTTTCTTATTTATAATATAAAAAACTTACTAAATTTAGTTTACAACATTTCTATTTTTTGTTTTTTTAAGTTGAAGCTCTAAATAGATAAAAACTAATTAGACATTTTTAATAACAAAAACATATAACAAGATTACTAAAACATTAACTAAAATTAACCTGAAAATAAATATTAGTATTAGTAGTAAAATATATAAAATAATTAAAAAGGCACAATGTGTCTTCACAACAACAACAACAACAACAAATATATGTATATATATATATATTTTTTTATTTTTATTTTTTTTTTTGTGAAGACACATTGACAATAATGGGGTGTTTTTTCTTTGTAAAGATTCTTAATGTTTTAATGTTGCTGAATATTTATTTTAATTAATATTTGTGAAGAAACACATTCAAGAAACTCCTGCAAGATTTCTGCTACATGAAACTTGCTTAATTTCTACTAAACGAACCCAGCAGCGTCCTTGTTAATGACGGCCACTATTCCCTCTTCTCTCAGTCTGGATCTGGAGGATATGGAGAACATCTCCCCGTTCAGGAAGCGCTGTATCATCCCTGTGCTGGGTCTGCTGGAGAACTCTCTGTATGAGAACTCGCTCGTGCACAACGGCCTGTGTCTGCTTCTGCAGCTGCTCAATGCCTGCCCGAAGCTAGCCGACATCCTGCTGGACCACGGCTTGCTCTACGTGCTCTTCAACACACTGTCCACCCTCAACGGCCTGGAGAACGGGTAATGTACCGAATTTAACATCAGTGATGGGGAAACTGCTTTGAAACTGTAGCTGGCCAGTCTACATGTTGTTCAATTGAATTCAATTCAAGTTTATTTGTATAGCGCTTTTCACGATACAAATCGTTGCAAA